TTAACCAGGAAATGGTGCTATAGTAATAAAGGCGTCAATTTTCTGTGGTGTAATTTTCCTAGTGTTTTTAAAGTCGGGAACTTGATTTAGGATTTTAATGGGAGAGTAAGTTGGAGTGAAAATGAAGAAGCATCTAAGAGACTTTGCAGTTTTGCTCAAAGAAAGATATAGGTAGATGATGAAAGATTGGATGGATGGATGGATGGATGGATGGATGGATGGATGGATGGATGGATCTACAAATATTAATTTATATATATATATATTAAGCACATACATTTACAAGAATAAAAATAGGCAAATAAGGGCTTGAATTGTTATTTATTAGCCCATTCTGTTACTATTGATGGGTTATTCAACCTAATCCCTGGTTTTTGTTTTCTTTGGCTTTCCACTCTTTGCCATCCATATTGAATTTATAAATAAAACAGCTTTTGGATACTAGTTTGGTTACTTTTATGGTTCTTGGTTTGAACTTTCATTTAACAAAAGCAATTATCATAGTATTAAATAAAATATACTAAGTTCAACCACAGGGTGGCAGGCACTATAGTGAGTGCATTGTGTGTGTTTCCGCCTCATTTTAAAACTACAACACTATAGGGTGTAAACTATTATTATTAGCATTTTGTGGAGAGGAAAATGAGCATTAGAAGATTGGACACCTACCCACAGTTTTCTTTTATTTTTTGAAAAAGATTTATTTTATTTATTTATACATACAGGAGCTGGGTAGGCCAGAGATAGGGGTGTTGGGGTGGGGAGGGGATTCACCAGAGACAGAGTGGGCAGCAGAACAGGCAGATCCACTGAAATACACTGCTGAGGGGAGCAGTGGGGAGACAGGAGAGGTCTGCTGTGCCATGGGGGTCAACTCCCTGGCCGGAGATTGAACTCATGCTGCAGTGGCTGCGGACAGCTTGATAGCACTGAGACTTTAACCCCTGGGCCACCAGGGAGGCCCACTTTTTTCCCTTTTTTACTTTTTTTACAGTAATAAAGCTGCCTTTTAAAGTTTCAAGTTGGCAAGGTCAACCAGATTTGGAAGCAGAAATACTGATTACTGCATGGCTTAGAAAGAAAAATTTAAAGATATTCAAGTATGTGGAAAAGAATTTGAAAAACTGCATGAATAAAATTGCCTTATTTTCAATACTGAACAATCCATTAAACTAACAACAAAACCAGAAACAAAAAGAGGCACAGAGACAGGTCGTGGGAGGCGGTTTAGAGAGCTCAGCTGTAAGGTCACAGCACATAGCTTGGAGATCGGGAGACTTAAAGGTGACAGCAGAGAATGGACATCCATGGTTGATAAGGAGAAGACCAACTGATACCATAGAATGTTCTCTTTCTGGGGTTCCTGTCAGAGAATTTCCAGTTCAAACTGAATCAGGAAAAGATCATAATTATAGTTTCCTTTGGTGCTTTCCATGTGGACAAGATTCTAAAATTTGAGCATGACAACGATACCACAGATGTTTTATTTACATGAGGAAGGATGGAGAAATCAAAACCTCTCAATAATCTATCATCATGTTTGCCTTCAAGAATGTAAATTTCTGAGGCCCCAGAAGAGTTGTCCTGTTTCTACCTATGAATTAAGATTGATCCAGGGGTCTCCCTGGTGGCCTAGGGGTTAAGTCTCAGCACTACCACTGGGATGGCCTGAGTTTGATCCCTGGCCAGGGAGCTACCCACATGGCACAGCAGACCTCTCCTGTCTCCCTGCTGCTCTCCTCATCAGTGTATTTCAGTAGATCCACCTGTTCTGCTCCCCACTCTGTCTCTGGTGAATCTCCTCACCTCCCACACGTCTGGCCTGCACCTTCATTCTTCTACACAAATATAAATAAATAAACTCTTTAAAAAAAAAAGATTGAATTCAATGTCTTGGGAGGGTTGTTTTCAATAGTTGTGAAGAAAAGTGACTCGTCTGACTTCGAGACAAACTGGAAGGGCTCCTTGGTGGTTCCTCCAATAGCGGCCAAATAGCGTGTCCTTAGAGCCTTCATTCTGGCTGCACTCTCATTCCAAGGCCCTAGTCGTTTGACAGGGAAGCTCTATCTGCCAAGTATCAGCAAGGAAACATAATTATTACTAAAATTAAAGCAGGTACTATTAAATCTTTTCAATTCAATTTGGAAATATAAGATGAAGAGTTTAATATTAGCTCAATCAGTCCATTTCAATTAAGTCACTGTGCACTACAGTTAATAGCATTAAGATCGCTAATACAGCTCCCTGAGAAACAAGTGAAGTATTATAGTTAGTCTAAGTAGACATATTCTACAACGATTTGATTATATTTATATGTTTTCTTGCAAACTCCAGTGGTATTTCTCAAGATTTTTTAGGTGTCAACATATGGTTTCAATTTCTCTGAAATCTATAGCATAGCTTGTTCTCAGACAAAATGTTGCCAAGCAGGACTTGTAAATGTATCTTGAGGTCAAGCTTACCATCTAGTCCTTTCCTATAAGGCTCTTTGGCTCATGTCTACACAACCACCTCTGATAGAAAGTCAGGCCATTACCCAAATGAAGTTTTCTCAACTGAAAAGGGAGACAGATTTTTACTTTTTGCACATACGAACTTATACACCAACAGAATTTTTGCCCATCAAGGAGATACCAACATAGACACTTTAGTTACTTTAAATAATTACCTTTCTGATCTATTTCATAATAATTCCAACTAAAGGAATCAGGCACCAACATTCCTAAAATAGAATGGTTCAGTTCAAGAACAATTTCCATCATTCTAGAATCTCACCAGAAACACTGGGTCTCTAAATGTGGGGGAAAATATGGGAGGCAAGTTTGCATTCAATTTCTAATGGAAACAGTGTCCCCCGAATGTGATAATGATATACTTCTTGATGTAGTAAATATTTGTACAGAATTGTTTACCTTTAAGGTACATTTCAAGCCTTATTTGTGCATTTGCTAAATACACAGTGTAAAGTTTTCTATTTCTCTTTAGCACGTATGTGTGGGGTGTGTATACACAGATCCATAATGTGTGTATTTATCTGTTTTTCTTTTTAATTTCTGGAATGTAAATTTTTAAATTCAATTTGGCATTTGTGTGTTTTGTCTATATTATAATCCAAATCCAAGTTGAGTACAGATCCATTTTTATACCTAATAATGTGCTGGTGAGTTTTACTTCTAAGTTCTCAGTGGACACGCACTTGGCTTGTGTCATCTGTTAGGTTCGGCATAACTCCCTGTGAAAAACCGAACACCATTACTGCTAAAAACATAACATGGTTCCTATAGGGAAAATATTTAAAATTTTTGTTTTAGTGTTTAGGTGAGCAAGGAGACACCATGGTGAGCAAAGGAGGATTTTCTGTGAAATTTTCCCCTAAATTCCAAATGATTATCTTAAAGTCATAAACAACCCAGCAGTCCATTAAACCGTGTCCCTAAATTATTCAACCTTTACATGCTTGGCCTCCTTCATACTATTATTATTTTGTCTCATAGCGATGGCGTTAATAAAATATATGTGTAGAAACAGACTAAATAGAACAGGCAGCACAGTGCTTCAGAGAACAGAGGTGCTCAAGGCGTTTTCTCACTGATATTAAGAAGTTGTGGCAGGAAGATGAAAATAGCAGTGGCTTTTGTTTCTTTCCCTCCCTCTCTTGCTCCTGCCTTCTTTCTGTCTTTCTTTCCTTCCGACTTCCAACTATAAAAATAAAAGAGATCATATGTAGGGGGGTTATTTGAAAACACAGAGAAGCAAAGATCATGACATTAGAACAGACACACATGTCACCGTGCAGGCATGTGAGAATCCGCATGTGTGTTTCTGATCTCTGCACATTTCAGATCTATTACTCCAGACTTTAGAAGATATAAAGATGGGTCAGGAACATTTTTCCATGCCAGGAAATCTCTTTTCTTTTTCACATGGTCACATCAAATAAATGCAGTTATTCTACTTCTGGAACACACCAAACTGTATAGACAAAAACTATTGGATTTTTTTTTTGTTATTTCCTTTCGTGTTGTTATTTTTCTCCATTTTTTAAACCTCACAATAAAAAAGTTTGCTATTTACTGAATGCTTATTTTGTGTCCAACACAGTGCACAGGGCTCATGTGGATAATCTAGTTCAGAGATTGGCAAGGCAACCCTGTAACTCCATCCAGTTCACTGCCTGTTTTTGTAAATAAACTTTTATTGGGACAGAGCCACTTCCATTTATTTACACATAGACACAATGGCAGAGTTGAATAGTTGCAAAAGCACCACATGGCTTACAAAGTTTATAATATTTATGTGCTAACCTCTGAGAGAAGTCCAGTAGAAGCTTCTAGAAGGGTAGAAACCTCTGTATCTGCCTTTTCCAACATGGTGGCCATGTTTTATAGGTGACTTATGAGTGCTTAAAATGAGTGCTTAGTGTGGCTGAGGAATTGAATATCTAATCTTATATAATTTTGTTTAAATTTAAATTTAAACAGCTGTATGATGCTGTGATAAATATACCTGCTGAGGCAAACTCAGAAAGCCTGGTCTGTTGTATTACAAAGTTTATGCTTTTTAAGTTTGGAGACAAAAGCTCTGGTAGGTCAAAATTGAGTAGCTAAATATTCTGTGGTTGTCATTATGTTTGCATTAAATTTTGGTTCATTTATCAATATGTGACAAGTTATCAAAATTGTTCTTTGTTCAGCAATGAATGATAAAATAGTTAAACAGAAATACCTTTTTGCACTGAACAAACTCAGAAAGTTATATTTTGCAACACTCAAATAAAATGCTACTTCCATTACTACTATTATGTCTGTTTTCAGTTATTTCATAGAATGACTGAAGCACAAAGAAAAAAATTAAATCCCCAAATCTGTGAGTTTTATGAAGCAGCAAACCTCTCTATGAAACCATACAAATTATTTGACAAGAAAAAGTGATGGTATTCTTTGATTCAGTTATTAATATGACCAAAACATTTTGTTTGTTTGTTTTTTATTTTTGCTTAGATTCAGTTCCTTCTTAAGAGAAACAACAACAGCAACAACAAAACCCAGGCAAGTGAGTGGTTATTTTCCTGAATCAGCAACCTGGGAAAGTGCTGGATGGGGGTTTGGGGGTGAGGACCCCTGGATGGGGGTTAGGGGGTGAGGACCCCAGGATGGGGGTTAGGGAGTGAGGGTGGTGGGGAAGTAAAACCACATTTTATAATTACATGGGCACGCAAGTAAATATATTATTACATATTAAACATTTTAAAACATTTTAAAACTACATATTAAAACATTTTCTTTATCCTTGATATATTTTGTTTTTTTTTTCTGATTTTAAAATAATTTAAAACACCTTTGTGATAGATGACTGGATCAAGAAGATGTGGTACATATATACCATGGAATATTACTCAGCATTCAAAAAAGATAAACACATGCAATTTGCAGCAACATGGATGGTGCTGGAAGGGATCATGCTCAGCGAAATAAGCCAAAAAGAAAAAGAAAAATACCGGATGGTCTCACTCATAGCAGGAATCTAGAAAACTTAAATAAGGGACCAGGAAAATGAATAACTATAAGAAAGTGAAAATCAAAATCAACAAAAAACTATGAACCAGAGACACTTTTAGGGGGCGGGGGTGGGAGGGGAGGGATTGGGGTCAGAATGGGGGGATTGCAATTGTATGGGGAATATAACAATAAAATTTATTAAATAAAAAAATAAAACACCTTTGTGAACCCCCAAAGGATATTATGGATCCCTGTCCCCTGGGCTTCTGAGGAGCAACGAGTCACATGAAGTATGACCTGACTTTCAGTGGTTGGATTTTAAGAGCATTATTAAAGAGGTGCCTCTACCCTACCAGCATTCCCCTGTTATTAGTTATTAATATTTCTGGGATAAGATTGTATTTGCTCCTTTGAACATACTTCAAAAGGTCAAATTAATTAATTATGAGAATTAATTATGATGAATGGTGATTAATGTCTAGTTTTATGGAGTCATTTCCAGAGAAGAATGATGGTGAGCAAGGCATGCCATGGAGGTTGGGGTGGGGCAGACAAGCGTATGAAACTATTAGGAACAGGTGGTTATTAAGAGCAAATTTATTGTGCCATGTACCTCCTTCCACAAATAAGAAAACGCATTCCTAGCTCTCTTCTCTCTTTCAACACTTAAGAAGCAGCAGCCACGTGCTGCGGAGGCCATGCAAGGCAGGGGATTAGCTGCCCAGATGCTGAAACAACTGGAATTCAGGTTGGAATTCCGGTTCCCTCACTTTGCAGCTGTGTGCCCTGCGTGCCTTAGTCAAACCAAAGGGCCTGAGTTTTCATCTGTGAAAGGGGAACGCTACTCCCTAGACCCATCTGGATGTCATGAGAGATGTGTTAATAAATGACAGCTCTTATAGGAGTGCCCGGTACATTACAAGCACTGCATGGTAGCTTTTATTGTTAGTAAATGTTCTACCTCAGGTGGAAGGATGCAAGCAAAGCAGGCTTGCCCAGTAGCAGCCCATGCGGTGCTTGTATCTGTCCCAACCTACTAGTCCCTTCAACCAGTAGTAGTAACTGCTTGGACTGATTGTTCAGAATTCTGAGGTTTTTTTATTCAAGTTCAGAGAAAAAAGGTGTCCTGAGGATAGAAGGGGGTATTGGCAGATTTGTCATGCATTTTCATTCCCATCTAGTAAGATAGAAAAAAGTCAATATTTTAATAAGTTAATTTTACAAGCTACTGATCTCCCTTAAAGCAACTTACTGCTCTTTCGTTAGGAAGGTTTATCTGTTTGAGTTATTTGCAATGAGCATGTCGACACAATTTGTCTCATGGTTGGCATATTTGTTTTCCCAACAAAATAGTGTTCTTTGATATCTCAAAAAATATATCCATATAAAAATTGTGAAGATGAAAACCAGTAATCACTGAGAAATGATGATTGCACTTTGAAGAAGCGCCACCTTTTGCTAGACCTATCTATCTCTCGGCTCTTTCTAAAGTTCTGTTCATCATGCATTTCATTGTAAAAAAAGTAGTTGGCTTTGTAATGATTTGAAAGGTGGGTTCTGTTTGCCTCCATCTGCCATAAGCGAATGGAGGCAAACAAATGCTTTGCAAATGAAGAATGACCAAAATAGCTTAATAGATCAGCCTAGCCAATAACAAATGTTCTCTCTGGACAACCATTTACCAAATTACTGACAATGCAGATCTTGATCAGAAAAACAAATCTACAAGGTACATTTACTTTAACTTAAATTAATCAAACATAAATCTGCAGACTTACCTGGCCTTGAATATATGTGCATATGTCCACAACTTTATCAACTCCCATGCACATCTCTTTATTTCATTTCCATATAGGTAAACATCTGTTGGAACTATATCGTTCTGAGCCCTCTTGAATTATAGCAAGGAGCTTGACATTAGGTTTTTTTTTCTTTAATTCTTTTCCATTAAAAAAACACTAAAAATGGAAAATTCATACCACAAAATTAATATTTTTATAAATAGGTTTTCTCTTTAGATAGCTAAACAGTCAAATAAATCATTTGAAACTTAAAATGTATTCTTTACCTCCAACAACTGCATTCCACATTTAAATTTACAATTTGTAACTAATTTATTAATGTAACTTTTCCCAGTTTAGCAAAATAACAGTCACATCAACATTTGCTTGATTCATGAGATCCATTAAAAATACTGGAATTAGACTATAATTTGAGTTTTATTAAATATATGTTAATAATTAAAGAGTTAGCATTCCCAAATTTGTGTTGCATGGATTTTAGAGACAAAGTCAACTATATATTGTCTTTAGTTAGCAGAAGATAGTCATAAAACATTAGTTCTTCATTTAAGTATATTAGAAATAAAGTGTAGAAACAATTCAACAGATTGTCAGAAAAATTATTTTTATGTAAACTCTTTTTATTACCTTTCCTCTAAAATACTAGTTATAGACTTCTCAAAATAGTGTAGAGGAGGGAACAGAAGGTATGTAATTTCGATCTAAAGTCAAGTCCCATTAATATGTAAGCATATTTCTTTTCAAGTAATTTACCCATTTTGATTTCACATAATCAGTATCACACTATAATTTCCCATGATGCTTTTATATCATTAACACTGAATTAGAACAATTTCCAATGCCATTAAAATAATCTAGCAAATGAAAACTAAATTTGTAAATAGGATTCGAATTGGCCATTGGTCCATAGTAGGAGTTGGCAGACCTTTCCCATGAACATATTTGGTATGTTCTGCACTGGGAGTGATGGTCTTCCCTCCGCTACTCAGCTGTGTGTTTGCAGGGTAATAGCTGAATTACCACACACCAAGGAATGGGCATATCTTTATGTATGGACACTGAATTTTGAATTTTATATGATACTCATATGTCACAAAATAAAGTTTTTCTTTTTGTTTTCTTCACACACACATTTAAACATGTGGAAGTTATTCATAACTGACAGGCTATACAAAGCTCAGAAGATCAGCTGGAGTTGGCATGTGGTTGACCCCTGGTCTGTAGCTTCCCTGATGTGAAGAATTTCTGAGTAGCAACTAGGGACAGCTATGTTTCTGTTCATCTATTTTGTTTACACATCAGACGCTCTTATATATAAGATTGTTAGTGGTTACTTGATTTTCAATGAACGATTAAATGAACTGGAAGATTTCATTGAATGGGATTTCAGGAGGTAAATTGTAAGTTGATTATCTCTCAAATTCTAAACTCAAGCTGGTTTAGGGGAAGAAAAAATTTCTTGTGTTCATCTTAGCATCCCTGGCTTTTCTATGGCTGAGTGTGTCTGAAAATAAAACTTGACAAAGACTGATGAGCAGCAGAAAAACATACAAATGTATTTAATGTAAAATTTTTGTGACATGAGTGTCTCCACAGGGAAACCAACAACAAAATGGTGAGAGATGTGTATTTTTAGGTGAAGTCTGAGAGGAATGGACAGTCATGGAGGGAAATGCTAGGCTAAGAAATTTAAGGTTGTTGTAGTAAACTGGGGGAGGTTTCACACAGCCCATCTGTTAAGATTCTTCTTGCTGCCCCTTTATTCTCAGAGAGAAGGTTGCTCCTACCTCTAGGTAAGGTAGAGCACCAGTCTCCTGAGGGTTTTATGACTTCCTTTGGAAAAGGAGTGTTATAGGGCACCCCCGATATTGAACAGGTTGCCTGGCTGTGGGTCCTCACCTGCGCGCTTAAAAGGGACTTATTAATACTCCACTACAGGCACACACAAAAGGTTAATAAAAGATTTATTTACAAGGGAAAAGGAAATAAGGAAAATGGACAACTCAGGGAGAAAATGGGGAAATAAAGTCTTTAATGCGTCCTACCCGATCCGCGGACCTGGAAACCCAAAGGCACTGTCAGCGCTGGCCAGACGCTGCGAGCTGGGCAAGAGCCAAAATGGGGGAAACCACCCCCCCAAAGCCCACGTGTCTGGCTTTATACCAACCTGGCTGCTTAACCCCACCCTCAGGTCTCAGCCACCTTCCCTTTGGTGGTGATGGGATTTGGAGTTCCCAGTGTCTTTGGCTTTGGCCTGGGGTGGTGGTGGAGTCCACAAACCTGTATGGAATTAGCTTTAGGACAGCCTTTTCACCCTAACAGGAGGACATATGGAAGAGGTCAGAGTGAATTTTCTGTTTCTATCATTTCTTAAACTCCTCCAGCTTCCCATCTTCAACCTGCCAATGTGCCATATTGTGGGATTATGTGTCCTCAATCCCTGATCTAAGAGCATTTTTCTGAGACAATTTGCTTTTTCATTAGTAATTGAAATCTGGCATCACTCTCTCAATGATTGTTCTCAAAACAGTGATAGAAGATAAGGAATACCACACTCAGCCCATTGTGTAAGATATTTCCTTAAACAAGGAATAAGAGGAAACATACAGACTGCTGTGGAAGAAAATGAATCAGAGCATCTCCAGTGTAAATCTCTGCTGGAAAATGCAAGACCTGGAAGGACTTTGGAAGAGCATCTAATCTGGGTGAGGAAGATAGCATCTCCTCCAGGGCTTCCAATACAGT